CCCAAGGGCAGCTCCTCGTCGTCGTCCTCCTCCTCCTCTTCCTCCTCGTCCTCCTCCTCCTCCTCGTCCGACTCCGACTCCGACTCCAGCTCCAGCTCTTCCGACTCCGCCCCGCCTTCGCCGGCCCCGCCCACCGGGTGAGGACACGCCCCTTTCCTTAATTAACCAATTAACCATGCCTGTTTTCCTAATTAACCCCACCCACCCAGTGAAGACATGCACCTTTTGTTAATTACCCCGCCCACCAGGTGAGGACACGCCCCTTTCCTTAATTAACCAATTAACCACGCCTCTTTTCCTAATTAATCCCTCCCACCGGGTGAGGACATGCCCCTTTCCTTAATTAACCAATTAACCATGCCCCTTTTCCTAATTAACCCCACTCACCCAGTGAAGACATGCACCTTTTGTTAATTAGCCCCGCCCACCGGGTGAGGGCACGCCCCTTAATTAACCACGCCTCTTTTCCTAATTAATCCCTCCCACGCAGTGAAGACATGCGCCTTTTGTTAATTAGCCCCGCCCACCGTGTGAGGACACGCCCCTTTTCCTAATTAAACCCTCCCACCAGGTGAGGACGCGCCCCTTTTCTTAATTAGCAATTCCACTTTCCTTGATTAGCCCTGCCCACCAGGTGAGGACACGCCCCTTTTCTTAATTAGCCCCTCCCATCGGGTGAGGATGCACCCCTTTTCTTAATTAGCAATTCCACTTTCCTTGATTAGCTCCACCCACTGTGTGAGGACACGCCCCTTTTCTTAATTAACCTTGTTCGTTGGGTGAGGACACGCCCCTTAATTAGTCCCATCGGGTGAGGACACACCCCTTTCATTAATTAGCAATTCCACTTTCCTTGATTAGCCCTGCCCACCAGGTGAGGACGCGCCCCTTTTCTTAATTAACCACGCCTGTTTTCCTAATGAACCTCTCCTGCCCAGTGAAGACACGCCCCTTTTCTTAATTAACCTTGTTCATTGGGTGAGGACACGCCCCTTTTAATTAACCTTGTTCATTGGGTGAGGACACGCCCCTTTTAATTAACCTTGTCTACTGGGTGAGGACACGCCCCTTTTCTTAATTAACCTTGTTCATTGGGTGAGGACACGTCCCTTTCCTTAATTAACCCTGTCCATCGAATGTGGCCACGCCCATTTCCTTGTTTAGCCCCGCCCACTTTTAACCACATAACCCCGCCCCCAAATGTGAGGCCACGCCCCACGTGGCTCCTGATTGGGCGAGGCTAAGCTCCACCCATTGTCAATTAAGCCACGCCCGGTTCAAATTAGACCACGCCCATTTTTAGCAGACCACGCCCACTCTAAATCAAACCACGCCCACTCGTTAAGCCACGCCCCCTTTAAAGGCATAGGGGGTCCCCAGGGGGGTCACGTGACCCGTCCCGATGTCCCCAAGGGTCCCAAATTGGGGTCCCCAGGGTGTCACCCACCCCTGCCTCAGTGTCCCCAGGGTGTCACCCACCCCTGCCTCAGTGTCCCCAAGGCCCCGCCCCCCCCGCCTCAGTGTCCCCAGGGTGTCACCCACCCCTGCCTCAGTGTCCCCAGGGTGTCACCCACCCCTGCCTCAGTGTCCCCAGGGTGTCACCCACCCCTGCC